GCCAAGTCTGGGATGAAAGCTTTGTCCTGGGCCTCCATTGTGCCTCACCTGCTTGCCACTGACCTAAAACCTGGAAGTGGATTCGTCCTTTTGATTAGCAGGGTAGGTAAATTGCTGTTGGTGCACTTTGTCCCGTGCCCGTTTGTGTGTTTGCTTTTAAAACTGGCATGCTGCAAAAACAAAGCCTCAACCTCTGCTTCCCCTGTGAAAATAAAGATTCTGGATGGTTGCAGGAAGGATAAAGGCAAGGTAGAGCAGTAGGGGACAACTGGAGGGGGCTCAAGTGGGTGACAGGACCATTCTGGACAGTCCCACCTGCTTCCTGATAGACGTGTCTTTTGAGTGAAGGGGAAGCTCTCCTATGAACATCACAGTGAGAAGCTGGAAGGGACTTTGGAGGTCTTCTAGTACAGCCCTCTGCTCAAGCAGGAAACCCTTCATCGCTTCAGACAAACAGTTGTCCAATCTCTTCTTAGAAACCTCCAGTGATGGAGCATCCACAGCTTCTGGAGGCAAGCTGTTCCAGTGATTAATTGTTCTCAGTCCCACTATTAAGAAATTGCTCCTTAGTTCTAAGTTAGTTTTCCTCCTTGATCAGTTTCCATCCACTGCTTCTTGTCCTTCCTTCAGGTGCTTTGGAGAATAAGTGGACCCCCCTCTTCTTTGTGTCAGCCCCTTAAATACTAGAAGACTGCTATCATGTCACCCCTGGTCCTTCTCTTTGTTAGACTAGACATACCCAATTCCTGCACAAGACTCACAATGTGCTCCCAAAAGTCCCAATGAGTTTTCCACCCCTGCTGAAAAATAATTCCGTAGTTGATCGCCATCCAGATCAACTGGGTTGCACCACTTCTGCTGCCCAACCAATCAAAGATGCCAGGATATCTTTGGTGGGTTTAAGGAGATGAAGGCGGGAGAAGCCGACTTAAGTTTCCCAGAGAATGAATGGTTGTGTGGCCCCTCCCATCATGAGCCCAAACGTTTTCTCACTCACCACACTCCTGCTGTGTGAAAAATAAATCCTTTGCACCCCCTTCCTCTCCCCCACCCCCTGGCTCAATCAGCCCCACCCAAATCTTTCATTCTTTCTTTTCTCAGATTAATCCCGTCCCAGCCCAGGCATGTCTCTGTTGATTTTTAGTGTACTTTTGCATTGAACATGTTCCTAGGCATGCTCCGAAATAAAGAACACGGAACCCAGGAGAGGCAAAAAGAAACAGAAATTAAGTTAAGCAACTGCAGGTTGCCTACAAATCCTTTTGCAGCCCACGAGAGATGACAAAAGAGAGCAGGAGCTGCAGGTGCTAATACATAAATCCAATGTTAGAAATAGTAACTGTAATTTAAATACGCCTCATTCAACACAGTTGTCTATGACAATCTACAGTCAATGCCAATTTTAAGATTCTGGTTTTATCCCTGGAAGTCCTAATTGGGTTATTTTGTACTCCATTCAGGGAAGGCTTCCCACTGGGTCAGCCCCACATCTGCTAAGAGGGAGAGGGACCGCCCAGCTCTAAACTGCGTCCACGGATTATTTGCTTGTAGAAAAAGAGCGATCATTCCCAGCATCACTTTGAAGATGCAGGATAAGATTTCAAAACATTGGATAGTTGCACATTTCTTTGCTGTAGGAAAAATGCAAAGCTGGTACTCTGTTTTATTTTTAGATTTGTATCTTGCTGCAAGCAGAACAAACAGTAATTTTGTGGTTAACTGTTTTATCCTTTGATCTCCTTTATCTAATATTTTTGCTCTGCAGCACTGATGTCTAGGCAAGTTGGGGAAGTGTCTCCATTTTGGGGTGCTGCAGCAGGAAGTTGGGGCAATGGTGAGATGGTCGCTCTCACAATCCTTTCGGTATGTTGACCTAGAAGGCTGAAGGAGGGCTGGCAGGGAGGTCTCCGGGTGGCCTGGCCTTCCCTCTCCCAGGAAAGAGCCCCACGCCCAACCGGGGATGTCCACCAACAAGCCATTATCTGCTCAAATGGCGGAAATGCTCCACGTTTGCAGGCCACCTGCCTTCCTGATGCGATCAGACGTGCCCCAAGCTGGTGGCTCCCTCCCTCGGCTGAACTGCCTGTCGGAGCTGTGGCTGGAGCTTGGCAGGACCGTCACTTTTGCGGTGTCCAAGAACATAGGAAAAGAGACCTTTGGGATAGATAATCCAGGATCTTTGCCTGCAAACAGGCACGCTTTGGCCAAGGGCTTTGATACTTTCAGAGACAGAGAGAAAGAGGCAGTTTCACCCAAGGCCGATGTTTGGCCTGCTGCACAGGAGTTGCCCCGGCCTCTGGGACCCCGTCAGGTGCCCCCTTCATGCCCTCCCTTCCCCCATCAGTCTTCATGTCTCTGAGCCGCCCCCTTCTGACCTCTTGCCCAGAAGTCTGCTGGTGCTTGTCCTCCTTTGATCTGAAAGCAAAACAGTGTTTTGTTGTCCTGGCCATATTTATCAAGAGGTCATTATCTGGACAAAGCCTTTTTGGCCTTGAAAATAGCCCTCTGGGCTGCCAAAGGTGAATGAAATGAGAGATGCTGATGCCTCCTTCTTAGAGTTGATGCATTCACTCATTTGTACACGGAAGGAGCATCTTCCTAGCTTGGTGCATCCGGGTCTGCTGGATGAACCTGAAGCAGAATGGTGGCCAGATGCTTCCAGTGGGTCATTCAGTTCTCCTGGCAGCAGCACTGAGGGGAGGGACCCTGTGAGGGGCCAGAAATCCACTTGGCGTCGTCGGGATCTCTCTTCTGCTCTCAAGAGGCAGGAGGCAGTTCTTCTCATCCTTCTCTGCTTCTGCTGATTATCTGGCAATGGTTCTGCCTTGGGCCAGGTTGGATTCTCTGGTCCTACACACGCATACGCACACATATACACACACGATTTTTCTTTTTTCTTTTAAAAAATCTGCTTGCTCAGCCAGCCAGGACCTTCCTCCGAGAGCCTCCAGGTCAGCGGGAAGCCACCTGAACAGGCACCATATGGCTTCTTGCTGCTCCCTGGGGTGTTTTCACTGCTGGGGAGGTGGAGAATCCCTGGTGTGTTTTCACTGCTGGTAGTGGAAATTCCTGCCTTGGTTGCCAAAATAACTTGGCCATCCTTTAGTGCCCTGCAGCCAGGCTGGTGGGAGGGGCTCTTGTTTGCTACTCTCTCCCCTGCAGCAAAATGCCTTGCTGGGGTCCCAGGTTGTGTGGGGCTCCCCTTGCTCCTGTGCTAAAGAGGTGCCCAGTAAGCCCGGCCAGTTAAAGAGGCCCAAGAACCCAACCCCCAGTTTCTTATTGGTCCCATTGGCACTTTTATTGTTCTGTGTCAAAAGGCGCCTGCAGGCGATGATGGGTCTTGGTTGCCCCCTGCCGTGGAAGGGAAATGGCTTTGGTGGGGAAGCCCCCAGCGGATAAAGGTTTTATACAGGGAGTCCTGGAAGTCTCTCTGTGGAAAATAATTTGAATGTTTTTGGTTTTGCTTCAAGTGTCTCAGGCATCCAATTTATTCCATTCCTGGACCAAGATTCTGGGCCGGGTCAGGAAATGTTGTTGACTTTGGGTTTTAGTCCCAGTCTCAGGCTACTCTCCTTCTGAACAAGAAGAAAAAGGCAGGTTGAGGTCTCCTCTTTGGGCAAACCACGTTCTGGCTGACCTGCCCAAACTGGAGGGGGGGGGGGGGCTCAGCCTTGGGAAGGGGGGGCTGTAAAGTACATGCGGTTTCTGTACCGAATCCGCGCTTGCTCTTCCCTCCTTTTAAGTGGCGATCTTGCCCACAACGAGGCCCGGGTGGGTGATCAGAACTGCTCGGTGCAGCCGGAACATCTGGCTGACTGTCCGACACGCCACGGCGCGGCCTTCCTTCGGGGCGCGACCCGCCGGGCCCTTCCCGGGAGGGGGGCGGTCGGGGGGGGCGGCGCCCCCAAAGCAACGGCTGCTCTTCCGGCCGGCGGCGAGAGAGCCCCCCATTCCCGGGAAGCGCGCCGCTTCCTCCGCCGCCCCTGCGGGCCGGACCGGCCTGCTGGCGGCTCCCCCAGCCCGCTGCCTTTTCCCCTCCCCCTTCCCTCCCCACCCAGCCGGGCTCCTGGCACGGCCGGCCCAGGAGGCGGCAGACGGAGCAGCGACTCCTCGCTCGCGCGCAGCAGCCCCGCCGCCGCCGCCGCCGCCGGTGAGTGAGTGAGTGAGGCGCGGGAGGGTCCCCGGCTGAGCGGGGAGGGGGCGGGAGGGACAGAGCCCCCCCGGGGGAGCCGGGCTCGCCCGCTGTGCTTCTCTCGGGTAGCCGGGAGGGAGGGAGGGAGCGGGGAGGGAGGGGAGCCTCTCTCGCTCGCTCTGCCGCCTGCCGGACTCCGCCGCAGCCTGGCCAGGAGGGCTGGGATGCTGCGGCGGCTGCTGACGCCGGACGGCCGGGCTGAGTCGCGGCGATTCTGGCGCCGGAGCCCGGCAGCGCCAGGCGGGACGGAAGGGGGGGTGGGGCGGGGGGCGCTCCCGGCCGGCCCGCCCTGCATCGGCGGCCGCGAGGGAGCCCCGTCCGCGCTGCGGAAATGGCCGGGGCGCCTGCTGGGGGGGGGGGGGGCGCCGAGCTGGGACGGACGGCCGCGGGTCTCCAAGCCGAGGACACCGGAGCCGCCTCGTTGTGCGTCCGCTTTGCGTTGCGCAGCCGAAGGTGGCCGGAGCGGGACGGGCCCTCCTGCGGCTCTTTGGCCTCCCGGGAGATTCAGCTCTAGCCGCCCACGAAGCCTCGTCCGGGGCTCTCTGCGCACCTCCGAGGCGTCCCAAGCCCGGCCCCGGGGCTCCTCCGCTGGCTGGAAGTAATTGTGGGGCAGGGAGTAGATGCCGAAGCTCATTGGCGACCGGGATTAGGACGGGGAGGGTCGTCGGTGAAGACCCTCTAGCCAGATCGTGCCCGAGGGCTTAAGGTGGGCCTGAGCTAAGCAGCCTCCTGCGCCTCGGTTGTCCTACCCGTAAAGTGTGGAGCTAGGGCTACCTGGAAGAGGCCCTGGATTATGGCCAGAGGACCCTGCTTGGACTGCAGACATTTTAATGATGGGGGGAGGCAAGGAAGGGCTGTTAGCTGAAGGGTTTGGCTGAAGAGGCTGTCCTGCGTTCCCATCCCGACAAAGGGAGTTCCCTACCTGGGGTACCTGTAACAGGTGTCCAGGTAAGGGAGAGCCACAGAGCTGCGTTTCGCCTTTTCCCTTCTCACCATAGCAGCTTTTTTGGCATCGGTCTATGGTTCGAGATTCAGAGAAAGGTCTCCTTCACACAGAATCAGTTTGGGGGACCCTTTCCAGGCGGGGGGTGGTTCGTCTTAGCAGCTGAATCCGTTCTTATTGCTTTCAAACCGTGATGAACAATTTAGCGTGTTTTGCAAACCCTGCTAGTTGTAACCTACTCAGCAAACCTAATTATGGAAAGTGTGCATAAGGTGACATGTGAATTAGGATTACTGGAGAAGGAAAATAAGGGTCAGAACAATAAGACGAGTAGCGAGGATTTCCATATGTGTATATATATTCATGCATGTATATATGCGTATGTGTGAATAGTGAATCCACCATCCACTGCATGCCCTCCGGTTAGGAGGCTGGGATGTCTCTCCCGTTTCATCTCTTCCGGAGCAGGGCTCTGTTATCAGAAGAGGCCCAGGGATCCAGCCTTGTCCAACCTCTGATGTAACCATTTGCATCCGGGGTCTCCAGTCTATATTCTTGAGGGGGAGGGAAGGAAGGGCCAGGGGGTCTCTTGGCCCAAGCATCGCTTCTCCCGAAACTCACTGGTCTCTCGGTCCCTTCTTCCCCAGTGGCCAGCCAGGTACACTGTTGGGAAGCTGGACATTTAGGGCGCCCAAGAAGATGGCTCCTGCTCTGGATTACCTAAGATGAACCCAGAAGCACAGTTTAGGGTCGCCTGGCCAGAGCCCTTGGCTGTAAGCCAAGGGGCCTCCACTTTGCTTCCATAAGTGCTGCGTCCAGATTTTTTTCTGCCTTCCTTCCTTCAAAGTGGATGCAGTTGGAATCACTGCTGTTTGAGTAGTTTTACAAGAGACATCTCAAGACTGTTTTGCAATATTTTTTCTTCAATTTGCATTCCTGCCTGTTTTCCGTGCATTGCTTTGATTGGTAGATCATAGCTTGTAAGCTTTCCAAGAGCATCTGGCTGCCTGCTCTTGGAAGCAGCTTCTTTTTCTTTAGAACAATTTTACTTCTTTAAATAAAACTGCCCAGATTGAATGGATCAGGCCAGGGCATAAATCAGTTGACTGATCAATCTAATCAGAGTGAACTGGCCTGGATGTGGGCTTGGCATGTTGGGCAAACCAGCCCTTGTCGTCTGTCAACGGTGGCTTAAGGAGATGCAGGGTGCCTCCTACACCTTTAGGTGTGTTTAAAACGGCATTGTAAGATTTTATTACACCGAGTATCATCCATCTTTCCCTGGCCCAGCGCAGACAAAACAACGAGCAGCAGGTAAACGGAAGAGGAAGCAGGTGGCCAGCAAGAAAACATAAGCAGAACCAGACAACCCTGTTTTATCACAAGGCAGCTTGCTGCACTCGTTGCTGGCGGGGCCTTTTTGTCATTTCAGGGAGCCAGGATCCTGGCTTAAAGTTCTCCTCCGGCCACTCCCTGGTTGGGCAAACAGACGTTTCTCAGGCAGGGCTCCCGACTGAGGAAAAAGGCATTCTGGGACTGGCCGTCGCTGCATGGCTCTCCAGGCAGCCCGCCCACCAGTGCTGTTCTGGAAGGCTTTGATAGGAAGGTCCCCCTTTCACAAGATGCCCTTTAGGTGTGGCCACACAAACTGGGCATTGTGAGAAGGAGAATTTTGGCCCTCTCCCTCTCTCTCCCTAGTCCCTCTCCCCACTGCCATTTCCTTCCCTCTGCTCTGCAATCTCCCAGCTGTGGATGCTGTACTCCCCCCTCCCCCGAAGTGGCATTAGGTCAAGGACAGCAAATTGCATCCTGGAGGCTGGATCTTCCGAGTCTCAAGTCTTCCTCTTCTTAGCCAACAGTAGCGTTTCAATCCTCTGCCCTTTTTCAGAGGGGGCATCAAATCTGCCTTCTCTGCGTGGTTCAGTGGCACCACCACCAGTGACCCAACAGCTAATAGCGAGAATGGTTTACAAACAAAGCTCCAAACTGCACAATATACAAAAAGCAAACAGTCTCTTCCTTGGAGACCAGCGGGCCCAACCCGGGACCCGCATGAAGGGCAGCTGACCTTCTGAGCATCAGCTCCTTTTAAAGCAGCCCCTCCCAAATCCTCAGGTGTGGCCCCAGAGCTGCTCCACCAAGTTGTAGATCTTTTAATGTGACAGAAGCAGGGTGAGTAATTCCACTAATGTACCTAAGGAATCTTCATGTCAGTCAAAGCAGATTCTGCTTGTTTATCCTGCCTGTGTTCTCCTTTCGGAAACGAAGCAGAGCGGTCGAAAGGCCAGCTTGAAAACAGTGGCGTGCCCTGTTCTAAATGAAGGCTGGGCCATTAAGCAAAAACAGACGCAGAGATGGTGTTTCAGGACCAGAGAAAAGCGCAGACTTAATCCTGGAACAATGTTCGACAGATCCGAGGTTAGACAAATCTTTAAAATCTCCTTTAGGGCCAGCAGAGAGGAGTTTACGGGGCCACCCAAGAAAAGCGCCCCACCCAGTCTTCTTTTGTTAACTGCCCCCTGCGTGTCTGGCCAAGGAAGACCCTTCAGAGGCCCTCAGGTTGCATCCCGCCCTTCCTTTGCTTGAGGAAGGTACGGGTAGAACTGCCTCTCTGATAGGCCCATCGGTTCTATAGATTCAGGTACCCTGAACCCAGTAGATCCCCGGCCCCCAAACCTCAAGGTATCGGCTCCCTTGTTGCCATCCCACTGTGGTTGAATGGGTATTTATAAAAAGAGACCCGGTGGCCCAGTGGATAGAATGCAGGATTGCAGGCTGATTCTGCACACTGCCAGGAGTTCGATCCTGACCTGCTAAAGGTTGACTCAGCCTTCCCTCTTTCCGAGGTTGATAAAATGAGGACCCAGATGGTTGGGGGGCAATATGGTGCTGCTTAGAGAGGGCTGTGAAGCACCCTGAAGTGGTATATAAGTCCTAAGCGCTGTGGCTATTTGCAGAGGGAAGTATGTTGCAAATGCTTGGGTGTTTAGAGAGGGAAAGAAAGGAGAGCAGAGTGATTAGGATCAGATGAGCCACCCTGTGAAATAAATGGGAAAAATGGAAAGTCTGGTTTTCTTGTGCTTCTGGAATTGCAGCAGTGAAGGAGCTATAGATCCAGTGAAGATCCAGTGGTCTTACTGCATCTATGAGGAAAATGAGGCAAATATCCAGCTTCCATAAATTTAGAGTTGTCCACTTGTCACCACAGAATGCTTTCATGGTATCCTGGGTTGAGGAGACGGTAAGGAAATCTGCATCGCAGCCGCCACCCTTCCAGGTTCAGATTTAGATTTTTTAACTGGCAGATCAAGATCTTCCACTCTTAGGCAAGGCCTTTTGTTTTTAAAAGGAGAAGATCAGGCCCAACCTCCTCTCCAGAGTTCTTCTAAATTTGCGTTTTTCAAGCTTGGCAACTTTCAGACGTGTCTTTTGAGAAGGCAGCTTTGATTCGTGAAAATTGTTGAATAATTGTGTCAAAGTAAAAGAAGTGACAAAATTGGCTTGACTGGAGTAGCAGAAATTTTCCAGAGGACGTATTAATGCATTGCGTGGCATAATTCTGTTCTGTTTTCCCTTTGTGTCTAAACAGCATCGCTTTCTTCTCATCTGAAAGAACCGCCCCCCCCCCCACGCCAAGATGCTGATTCTCCTGGCATTTATCATCCTCTTCCACATCACTTCAGCTGCCCTTTTGTTCATCTCTACAATTGATAACGTGAGTTGCCAGGGTAGCTTTCAGTTTGGGATTTGATTCCAAGATTAAAGGGAAGTCCTCTGAACACGGAAATTAAATTTTACAGATCTGAGTCTCTTCTAATCTGGAAATACACGGACGATGCCCTTAGTCTAAGGCAGTGTTGCTTAACCTTGGCCCCTTGCAACTCCCAGAATTCCCCCAAAGCTGGCTGGGGAATTCTGGGAATTGAAGGCCACACATCTTTAAGCAGCCAAGGTTGAGAAACATTGGTCTAGGTCTAGGAGGTGCTGCTGAGGAGGTCTCCATTGTTTCAGTGCCCAGCTTAAAAAGGAACCCCCCCCCCATGAACTAAGATTCCCACTTTGGGGTAATGCCTATTCAAATGAACAAAGCTGTCAGAAGTCTTGCTTCACACATACTGCAAATAGGTAACTGGTGCCACTTTATACCAGTTTGCAGGTCGACTCAAACTGGGTGGGGGAGGGGAGCCAATTCTTTTCTTTGAAGTCACATCTCTCTGTCTGACTTGCCAATCCACAGGCTGCAGATCAGTTATGGCTGAGTTTTCACTGGTCATGAATTGTCTGTAAACAAAACATAATGGATTTACTCAGGCCTGAGCTGAATTCAGGCTGAATAGAACCCAAATACTGACCTCATCAACTGAAACAAAACACCACCTTGGCTTGCGTGCGTGCACACCCACACGCACACCCACACATGGAGCTACTTCCTGACTCTTTTGTTAGACATATTTACAAAGTTCTCCCTCTGCCTATCCGTAGACGAAGTCCGTAGGCAATAACTGCCAGCCACAAATGCTTGATGAAAATTCATCACCTGTGCATAGCTTTGGGTATTTTTTATTTATTATTTTAAAAAAAGCTGGTTCCTGGTCTCCTGAGCAGAGGTCCCTTTTGCCTTCTTCTCTAGGCCTGGTGGGTTGGCGATGGCTTCTTCACGGACATCTGGCACCATTGCTTCAATGAGAGCAACTGTACAGCCCTGGACCATACCCTTCCAGGTGAGGCTCCAGGTGGGGCTTCTCTCCTTGCTGGGGGTGGGAAGAGACAGGCGCTCCAATGGTACCCATGAGGGGGTCTGCTCCGCCTCCCTCCCCAGCCCCCAAGTCTTCTAACTAGACTTTGTGGTTGCAAAATGCCAGGATATCATGGCGTTCCACATTTTCCCAGCTGCACAGACGTATAATATGTTACTGGGGCAAGATGGCTCAGTGATTAAAGATGCTGAGCTTGTCAGCTGGCAGCCGGGTCCAAGCAGCTCGAAGGCATGCAAGTGCAAGTAGATAGATAGATGCCGCGTTGGTGGGAAGATAGCAGTGTTTTGTGCGCCTTTGGCATATCGCCCTGCTTGCCCCATGAAAAGTGTCTTTGGGCGATGCCGGCTCCCTCGCCCCAAAAGGGGGGATGACCCTGCGCTCTGGAGTCAGACAGGACCGGACAGGGAAGCCTTTACCTTTATGTTGTGTTACCGTGCTTGCATTTTGGATGCTGTCTCTGAGAAGTAACATTTTTTGGGGGGTGGGAGGTCCAGGCTGTAGCCCTGTCTGCCCCCCCAGGGACCACCCGCCCCAACCCCTAGCCCCTTCCTCTGGGATTTCCCCCCGTTTGAGGAGTGGGGGCCACCTCCAGAGAGGCAGGGGCGCTTTGCCAAGGCCCTTGGGGAGGGAAGGGGAGGAAGGGAGGGGCCCCCAGCTGCCCGATTCAAAAAGCGCCTTGCAGTTGAAGCCGGCTGATTTTCCTGCGGAGGAAACTGAGGATGGAGAGTTGGCAGGAGAGGCCGAGCTTTTTTTATTGTCCTTCGGCATGGACTTGGCACGAGGACGTCTCGGGCAGGATGCGGGCGGATCTGGGGGCGGAAAAGCGGGTGGAAAATGAGCTTGGGCAGGGGAGGCCCCCAGGTGCTGCTGCCGTCCGGAACAAGGAGGGGCCTTGCTTTGGCTGAAGCTTGTCTTTGAAGCTTCTCCAGCACTCGGCCTTAAGCCATCAATCTTGGCTTACCTGCCATGGCATGTTGGGCTACACAGTATGGCAGGAGTGTCTGACCGTGACCCCTGTGGACTTCAACTCCCAGATTTCCCCAGATCTTAAAGTTGCGAAGGTTGGATGTCCCTGCTCTAGGCTTTCATGCCGGTTGGGGAATTCTGGGAATTGAAGCCCACAGGACTTAAAGTGGAGCCCTGGGGGGAACCAGCCTTGTGCCCTGCTGGACGTTCAGTGGGCAGTTTGCCTGAGAAGTGACCTTTTTATTCACCCCACCCCCACCCTCCAGAATACCCGTCTATCCAGACTGTCCAAGCCACGATGATCTTGTCCACGATTCTTTGCTGCGTGGCCTTTTTCGTCTTCCTCCTTCAGCTCTTCCGCCTGAAGCAAGGCGAGCGGTTTGTGTTGACCTCCATCATCCAGCTCTTGTCCTGTGAGTAGCCCTGCTTTAAAATCCACTCTCCTGGAACTGGACCGACATTTTTAATGGGAGTGCTAAACCAGATTGGGGGGGGGGAGGAAAGGGACACTCTCCCCCCAAGGATCCCTTTTGCTGGGGAGAAGAGATAAGAAAGGCAACCTTTCCAAAGCCTTGCCCGATCCAGGAATCGCAGGGCGGGGGCTTCTTAACCACCGCCTTGCTCAGCAACAGACATTCTGGTCATAAGCCGAGGACTACTGCCACTGTAGGCCCCCAGTTTGTGGTTGACGTTAAGTGGGGCCATCTCTGCCTCTCACCCGCAGGCCTGTGCGTGATGATCGGGGCCTCCGTCTACACCGACCGGCAGGCGGAGCTGCACCGGGGCTCCAGCTACGGCCCGGCTGGGGTGGAGAGCGGCCGGTTCGGCTACTCCTATGTGCTGGCCTGGGTCGCCTTCGCCTTCACCCTGCTCAGTGGCCTCATGTACCTCGTCCTGAGGAAGCGCAAATAAAGCCGGGCGGGCGGCTGGCGAGGGAGGACAGTCCCCCGCCCCCCAGCTCTGCTGGAATTCCAGCCCCCCTTGTGTAAATAGAAGCGTTTGTAGTAAAGTTGTGGTTGGGCCTCTCCCCGTCCTTGGCGTCGCATTACAAGGCCGATGGGAGGACAGAAGAGACGAAAGAGGTGGGTGGACGGGCACATCTGGGCAGGGATGCCCAGCGCCAGCCAGCAGCCTGCATGGCTCTTGGGTGACTCAGAGCCCGGGCATGCCGGCCCCCCTCCTGCTTGTGGGGCTTCTCTGGCTCTGCAGCTCCCCAAACAACAGTGGGGCTACTAGGCCTTAACCCAAGGTGGGGCCGGGGGCACACAGGTGGGAGTCTGGCTGTGACTGGCAGCGTGCAGCAGATGCCAGCCTCCTTAACTCAGGCCCAGCCAGCTGGACGCAGGTTTCCTTTTACGCCCACGAAGCGGAGCTCCTCACCGCCCACATTGCCCTTGCCCCCCCCCCCGTTCTGTAAAACGCTGAGGGCTGGCGTCTTGCAAGCTGGGGCAACCGTAGCGAATTCCAGTGCCTCCTGGGTGCCAAAGGCCCTGCTCTGATCTGCCCTTTGTGCAACAGCACCTCTCAGTGGGGCAGCTGAGGGTCTCACTTTTGCCCTGCCCGGGGGGCACGAGGGCCCTTTGCCCCAGACGAAGCTGCTCCCCAGAGAGGCTCGAGGCCTCCTGAGCTACCTCACTGGATGCCACGTAAGTCCCGGTCTTGATCCACAGCTGGAGCCTTTTCCATGTTTGGCACAGCTCCAGATGGCCCTTCCTGTGGCCAGGCCCTCCAGTCCAGCCTGGCGCGGAATTCCTCCCGGTTTTGTCCCTTTCCCCATTTTCTGAGGAACTTGAAACATTCCTTCTGCGTGCATCACGGGAGGAAGCAAAGCCCCGATGAGGGAGCTCCTCTCGACCTGAGGTGACCCTGCAATGGCTGCCCGTTGGCGCAGAAGAGGCTGGACTTTGGACTGGCATTGGCACCAAAGCTTGACCGTGTTTGCAAGCCTCCCAGGCCCCAGAACCGCCGGCAGACATGGGCAGACTTCAAGGCAGGCCGATCCAGAGCGGCCGGGGGGGGGGGCCTCCGAAGCAAGACGCACGGGCCACGCTGGGAGAGGGGTGCCCGGAACCGCCAGAGGCCAGGGAGACCCTTACTGACCGTCTTGGACCCGAGGCAGACTCACCGCATCCCTCCTCTCTGCTGGCATTTCTTCCAGCCACCCCCAGTTCTCTCCCTCAGGGAAACCATGTTGCTTTTACTAGATTGCGACAGGTTCATTCCTGAATTTTCTCACTAGGAAATGAGCGCTACAGAACTAGTGGCTGCTTTTATGAACACGAAGAACAGGCTCGACCTGCAAGAATGACAGATCTTGTCTGCTTTCTAAACAGCCCCTGCGCCAAACCCACAGAGGGCATCTTAAATTAGGGTCTTATTAAGCGGATATTTGGAGTGAGAGAATGGCTTTGTCTGGACTGACATAGCATCCTCAGACGTGTGGGAAGGGATGTGTTCCCGCTAGACATATCCTCATCCTCTTTGGCCTTTAGTGCTTTAATTCTGCCTTTAATTTCCACCACTTCCTCCCTTCGGGATAACCCCTGGTCCACCCCCCCCCTTCCCTCTTCCCTGACCGAGAGCTGACTCTTTATCTTCAGGCTGTAACTCTATGCAGACTTTAAAAATAAGTTTTTGCCACCGGTGAACCTTTATTCAGAACAACTAACTCCTCTGGTGATGTTATAGTTTGAATTTATATTTATGTTTTAAAAAAAATAGCACATGTACACAAAGATATAACGCTATTTACATTTAAATTTCTAACTCCTTCGCAAGAAGCAAAGAGGAAGCCTTCCTACAACCAGGCAATTCTGCCTTAGAAACGCAGAACAGCCCTTTCCCACCAAGTGCAGCTGCAGCTCTACCAGAAGCGGAACAAGCCTCTCTGAGATGCCAGAGTTCTCCAAGGTTTGGAGCAATCGAGCATTTGGGGTTTCTAACAGAGGATAAATTTGTAGCTCAATTCCACCAACAGTGCCTCCGTTGTTTTGTATTTTATATACCTATCAAATTGTATGTGGAAATAAAACATTACAACCGGTATTAGGCTGGCATTTCATTCTGTTGTGTACCGGACGGTTGATGTACAAACAGTAGACAGCATTTGCTTCCCTAGAAAGCTTTTAAAGTTTCTAGTCCCTGTCACAGATGGGTTGGAAAGTGACCTATTGGGATCCTAAACGGAAGAGTGCAGGTAGTGTGCCTGGGGGCACCCAGGCTTCCCAGAAAAAGGCCGAAGCGCAGCCCCTCCCCCTCCTGGGCAGCCAGACGGCCCCAGCAGGAGGAGCCTCGGGTGGAGAGGTGGGATGGGCTGCTCAAGAGCCTCCTCTTCAGGGCGGCTGGCATTCGCATGAGCACAACAACGTTGTTCCTTGGCGAACAGTATTTCTGCACCGTAATCAGTTTTTTTTTTTTTTTTACAAGCAAGGAAGGATGCTTAGAATAAGTCTGCACAGGCTAGTTACTGCTAAATGCCCTCTAGGCAACAGAGGCCACATCATTCCCAAGAAGCCTTCCTGGCTACTAAAAGCAATTTTTAAGATGTGTGCACTTCAACTCTCAGACTTCCCCAGCCAGCCAGCCAGTTGGTGGAATTCTGGAAGTTGAAGTCCACAGCCAAAGTGGATAAACTGCACCAGGTGATAGCCAGTGAGATTCCACACATTAGCTATTTCTTTAGTATGCTGTCTAGATTTGCCATAGCTTGCTCCTGGGGAGGAAAGCTATGGCAAATCTAGACAGCATACTAAAAAGCAGAGACATCACCCTGCCAACAAAAGTGCGTATAGTCCAGGCCATGGTTTTCCCAGTTGCAATGTATGGCTGTGAAAGTTGGACCGTAAGAAAGGCTGAGCGCCAAAGAATTGAGGCCTTTGAACTATGGTGCTGGAGAAGACTCCTGCGAGTCCCTTGGACTGCAAGGCGTTCAAACCGGTCAGTCCTAGAAGAGATCAACCCTGACTGCTCTTTAGAAGGCCAGATCCTGAAGTTGAAACTCAAATACTTTGGCCACGTAATGAGAAGGAAGGACTCACTGGAAAAGGGCCTAATGCTGGGAAAGATTGAGGGCAATAGAAGAAGGGGACGACAGAGAATGAGATGGCTGGATGGAGTCACTGAAACAGTAGGTGTGAACTTAAATGGACTCCAGAAGATGGTAGAGGACAGGAAGACCTGGAGGAACGTTGTCCATGGGGTCGCGATGGGTCGGACACGACTTCGCAATTAACAACAACAACGTTGAAAGAGGTGGAAAAAAATGCTTTTGGAAAGAAAAGCGGACATTTGGATCAGAACAAACCACCCGCCAGTGGCCTTTTACAAAATCAGGAAAATACAGTCAGCCTGCAGGAAAATCCAACAGAAAAGGCACTTTATTTTTTTTAAAAAAACTTTTTTTGACCCACTTGGATTTTGGACAAGAGAACATCCGTCTCTCTCATCTTGCTGGTGAAAGGATGAAAACAATACAAAAGCAAAGTTTCCCCTCTTGGAGGCCTTGAGGCTGATTCGGGGGGGGGGGGAGTGAGAAAACCTTCAAATTCCCTTTGGAGACATGCAGAGTGGGAGGCCGTCCTCCTGAGCCTTTTCTCTCATGTTCTCCCGCAGGTGATGCCAGCTTGCTGCCGGAGAAAAAAATGGCCAACCAAGAACTGGCCGGGGTGTTTTCAACACAACGAGCTGGGAAAATAATGCCCCTAAAAAAAAACCTGGGAAAAGCTGTGCCCGGTTAGGGAGGAGGTCCTGCTGCTCCCCAAACAGGCTGGCTCCCTTTAGAGAGCCGAGATGGACTGGACCTCGCAAAAAGGTCCGTAGCGCCCGTGAATGTCCTTGGACTGCATGGTGAAGTAGCACCTGGCCGGGCGGGGGAACTGGGAGAGCGAGCAGGCCATGGGCAGAGGGAGGGCCTTGAGGACGCTGGTCCTCCTCCACTCAGAGGTGGTCCCGCTGCCGAGGTCCTCCAGGCAGATGAACAAGGAGAAGCTCTCGATGGGGGCGCACCGGGGGTCCACTCGGCTGATGTTCCACTGGAGGGCAATGCCTTTGGGCTGGTTCACCTGAGCCACCACCAGCTCCAGCTTCTGGGGGGGCAGAGTATCTCTGAGATCCTTGGAGTGCGCTGGGTTGGGCTCAACGCTGGGCAAGGGAGGGAGGTGGGAAAACCTCGGGGGCACCTGGAGGAGGCAGGAGATGCAGTTCATAAGCAGGCAAGTGAAGGGGCCGTCCCACCCATGCCCACAAAGCAGGGGCCCCGAGCCGTGCAAAGCGTCCCACACAGAACAGGAAGTTTGGGGGTCCCTGTCAGACCAAAGGGCCAGGACTGGAGTCCGTGGGGAAAGGCAAGCTTTGATGGCAGCGGAGAAGAGGGGAGAGGACTTCCCTGCTCCCCCATAACCCCTTCGCAGGCGTTCCTGTTCCTGTTCAGCAGGAAAGGTCTGGCCCAATGCCCGAAACCCAACAGACGTGCTTCACGCACACAGCCCGTGTTCCGTGTCGGGCCCTGCAGAGGCAAGGAGTGGAGCCCCAGCCGGCATCTCCTGTCTTCTGCTGTCCACCTTCCAAAAGGCTGCCCTGCTTTGCCCGGAGAGGGAGGTAACGCGGAGCCCTGAAGCCTAACTGAAAGAGAGGCCCGGCTAGCCTGAGTCAGCCTTTCCCCTCCCAGGGCAGCGGAACCTGAGACCTTGGCTCATTTGCTGCTGGCTTTGCTTGAGGGAGACTCCGGAGGACTCCAAGCCTTGCACACTCTTTTAGGGCCGGGCTGAGCAATGGACGGTTGCAGCAGGAAGCTCAGAAAACCCCCCCCCCCCAAGCCCCAGAGGTTTTCCAAGCTCAGCTGCTGCTTCACATCCATCCTGGGCCTTTCCTGCTGCAAGGCTGCCCCCTTGTGGCAAAGCGAATAACACTCATCCCTTCCAACCCTGGACTTCACTCAAGGGAAGGCAAATTCAGAAAAACAAAAAACAAATCTGTTCCACTTTTAAATATTCCTTTCTATATTGCAGGGTTACTTGTGCACCCATCGTGCCTGCAGGGGACACAGGAGACCTCACAATTGGGAGGGTTTGTTTAAATACCTGACTTGGGGATTGTCCTGCCGGCTGGGGAAGGCTCTCTGTCTGGCTCTCCTGGCCCAGCTGGGTGCTTCCTGCAAGTTTTTTCTTCTCTTCTTTGCCCACAGATAGAAAGGGTTAGTATGGCATTTTAAACACTGTGCTAAGTGCTGTGGGGTGGCCGGTCCACCTCAGATGGCTTCTCACAATTGCAAGGTATCAAAGAAGGGCAACTAAGGCAAGGCAAATGAAGGAATAGCCCCCAACCCCCCCTCCCACCCCAGGAGAAGGCAGACTCTCCTGTCTGCTCACTGGCCCCCCAATGCTCTGGGCTGTGGAAGAAACGCTCTGGGACCACCACCCTCCTGGAGGCAGCCGGTCCAGGACAAAGATTCTACCAGAGATAACTGGAACATTTTGAAGCAACTGCCCTGGATTTCATGTGCATGTTTCTATCCTGTTTACTCCACTGCTTTGAGGAAAAGCAGGGTAGAGACTGGTAATTAAAATAAATACAAAAACTACCTCTACACGGCCATAAAGGTATGGAAAAATAGTCTATTCACCTTTATCAGGATTGTTTTCTTCATCTGTTAAGTCAATCACCAAGGCATCCTGTAATTAGGAGGAAAGGTAAATTAGACGGACCAAATGGATCCTGATTTTGGTCTGCAAACAGCCTTCTGCAGCTTATAAGAACGAATGTTTTTTAGAAATACGGGAGGATTAGAAATAGAAATACATACAAAACACAGCAAAGATGCTCAGAATTCTGGCTCTTTTGTAACTGTAGAGCAGGAAAAAGATTGGAAAAGCTGACCTTAGACTCGCTCACCTGTTCACCTGGAGGGTCTGCGTATCCAGCAGCTGCTTTCAGTGGATGAGCTGCAGAAATTGGACACAAGCAAGGGTGGTTTTAAAACTCAGATTTTGTTGGGTGGCTCAGAAAGGCAGAAGCTGAAACACGCCTGCGAGAGCAGTCGGGGTGCCCCCTCTCAGCTTCAGCCTACGGCAGGGGTCTTCAAACTTCATCATTTTATGACTTGTGGCTGGCTGAGGAATTCTGGGAGTTGAAGTCCACAAGTCATAAAAGGGCTGAGTTTGAAGACCCTTGGCCAACGAGGCAGTCTCGGCCGGAGGGGGGGGGGGTCTGCAGTTTGCAATTGGCCTGAGCCACAGTCTCTTCCTATCCCTGGACTCTCCATCATCAGCCAACAGAGAACAACACCTCAGCCCCAGTGAAAGGCAGCTGACTCAAGCAAGCTGAGGCATCTTCCCGGCCCCACTTCACCCAGGCCCTCTAGGAGGCATCTGGGGGTCCTTTGGAACCAGGTGCTTCCATGCTCCGCAGGGGTCCATGGTGGGCCAAGCAAACTGCCCCCCCCCAGAAATCTGGGCCTGCTACTTCCATTCTGCTGCATGCCAAGCTACTCGCAGGAGACCTAGAAACTGCTAACTCCTGCCGCTCGAGTGTGCTATCATTACAGGTTGCGTAATCCTCAGTTATTTTTCTTCTCCTTGGGGCAAAGGGAGGAAAGCACACCTGGTGCCCCCTCCAGAAAGACCTGCCAGAGACTTGTTACTTAATTTGCTCACGGGTCCATTCAGATACTCGCCCATTACGCAACTGCTTCTTTTCAAAAATGTTTGTTGGGAAGCTGAAAAGTGAAAGTCTCTCTCTGTACCTGGAGCCCCAGCGGCCGGTACTCCCGAGCTTTGCTTCGGCACCTCAACGCAAGGGACCACATCAGCACCAGGCGACCTGATCAAGAAGCACCCAGAATAATTCACAGCGTCTACCAAGGGATACCAAGCAGCCGGCCTCTCTCCACCGAAGACAACGTATAAATGCCAGGGAGGCCACCTCCACAGGGCGGACGGAAGCAGCGCTCCCTGAGCAGACAGTCTCAGAGGCAATCAACAACGGCCGTTTGCCACTGACCTTTCCGCGATGGAAGACAAGATTTCGGTGGACGTTGGCTTTTTTGGTGGCACCGGCTTGCCGACAGCCGTGTTCGGAGGCAGGGTGGCACCATTTAATATTTTACCTTCAGCAAGTGCCCTGGGCTGGTGGACCTGGGGAAAGGAAAAAAGCATTTACTGTCAACTATGGGAAAAGACATTTTACCACTGATCCTGGAGCCTGGCCTCAGCGAAAAATTCCATTCTGGCTGGCCCTTGGTAAGGGCCTCCGGGTAAACTTTGCTTCTGAGATATTTTTGTTTTCCTAAGCCCCCTTGAGACCCCTGCCTCAAAAGCGAAGAGTTCAGAGCTGAAGAGACCTCTGGCTGTCTTTCTCCTGTTATGTAAGCCTTTTAGGGTTTATTACGAACATCTGAACTAAGGGGACACCAGCATTTCAGACCTGCATCTCTGCCTCTGAAGATTAGGAAAGCATGTCATTTTCTCTCCGAGGCAAAAGTACCCTTTTCAGGGACAGGAAGGGAGAAATCGGACAACAGGACTGTATTCTGAAGTCCTTGGCCAAAGCTCTGAGCGTTAAGAAAGAAACAAACCCGGCTGGGAAAGGAGAAGAGGCAACATAGTTTATCCAACGATAACAGAAACAATGTTGTTATTGTGCATCGAAGACTTGCACCAATCTGGGTTCCTGGATTTTGGGGCAACGATCCCATCGCCACTTACAGGAAACCCCAACGTCACCAGATCCCGTTGAGAGGCACCGAAACAGAGGATCAGGCTGTGCTGCAACCCCGGTGCACCCCGGGTCCTCGGGGGCTGAGCGAGCCAGAGGAGCACTGCTGCCGCACAAGCCTCACCTTTTGGGATAACGCCGTCCTCTGAAACGATATCACAGCATTGATGTGTCTGTCCAGTCTGGAGATTTTCTTCTGCAAGTAAACAGAAGGAGGTTCTTGCAGAAGCAGGGAAGCAGGACTCCAGCTGCACCAGTGGAACATCAGCCTTGAATCCACATGCTCTGCAGCAGCACATCCAACCCTTCCCAGCTCCTTAACGGGAGCAGAGAGGCTTCTTGTGGGGCCCGTCAAACTGCGCGTGAGAACCACAAAGACACATACAAGCTTGTGCCCTGTGTGCGTGACACACACATGCACACACAGAGCTTTAAAGGAAGGGGCTCCTTACTACAATCTTAATGGCAATGCCTTCGTGTTTCCGCAGGCACTGTGTGTGATCAATTCTTTCATTTAAGTGCCGGAGACCCTGGTCCAGTTCTCTCATCGAGGCCTCCAGCTGATTTTGAATCAAGCGCTGGACCTAAAGCAAGAAAAATGCACAAATAGATAAACAGGGACATCTTCAACTTCATGGCAACCCCCCCAACACAATCAGTCAGAAATGGGACTTTTTCAAGAGACAGTTTTCAACTTCCTGTTTTCCCATGCGAATCTCTAACTTTCCCACATCTTTGATACACAGATGTATGATACATGTGTTTATTGTGAAATATTTCTAATTATTGGATTTCTAGCGGCTTCCATTGTTGTGGCGAGCCCCCTCCCCAATCTTACCATCCCTTCTGCTGAGGATCTGAAGGGCAGAGGAGCTGCTCCCCACCCAGCCAGGACTCTGGGCTTGGCTTTCACGCTTGCTTTTTAAGGCACCCCTCGGCGGTTTTTAGAATGCAAAAGTAACGAAGAGGTTGGAAATCAAGTTTATGCAAAAGTTGTACTCTGGAGACAGAAGACACCCCGATATATCTAAATGCATACTTCTCCGAATCTTGTAATGAAACCGTTGCTTCCCTGGGGCAGAATCGTGTGCATGGAGGAAGCAAGCCCGGGATGCAAGGAAGAACAGGTTGCTCTCAGTTGAACATTCCAGGGATGCAGCTGGAGCGAGACCCCCCCCATCCCAATAATGCAACTGCCCCATGCAGCATTACCTGTGGACTTTCCAGCCCGAGGAGGGCCTGAAGCAAGCTATCAAGACAAAAAGAGCGGTTATGTACGGCCAACAGGAAGAGTTCAAACCACTGCCGACGTATCTACTAGCGACAAGCCACAGCACTGCTACCATTGGGCCCCGCTCGGGAGGGATTCGGCATGGCCCCCACAGGAAGCAGCGCTCGCAAGAGACCCCTGCGCCATAGGGGCCACGTTCGGAGGGGCGAATGTCCTTTACCTTTCCCAGCCGGGACTCTGCTTTCTCCACAGTTGGAGTGGTCCCCTCCGCGGGGTCCCCGGATGCTTTGGTGCGCTTGGAAAGGACGTCTTCCTCGCTGTTGGATGCTGCCCTCTTCCGCTGCCTGTCTCCTGCCAGGAGAGATGGGAGACCTTCATGGAGGGATTGGGAAGGCAAATCTGAGCCCTGCCAGACCCTGCTCGGGCTAAGTTCCAGGACCCTCTCTTGAAGAAGCCCCCTACCACCTTTGCAAAAAGGGTTTAAGAAAAAGAAAAGAAATACAACGATTGCGCAAACATATCCACGTTTTATGGAAGGCTGCTGTCAGCCCCCCCGAAGCAAAGGGGGGGGGAAGCTAGGATTGAGCGCCGTTACCCAAATCAGGTAGTTCCCGACTTACGACCACAATTGAGCCCAAAATTTTTGTTGTTAAGTGAGATGTTTGTTAAGTGAGTTTTGTCCCATTTTATGACCTTTCTTGCCACAGTTGTTAATCAAATCACTGCAGTTGATGTAAATAATCTGGCTTCCCTGGTGACGTGGTTTTTTTAGGTCACAAAAAGGGATCGTGTAACTTTGGAACATTGTGACCGTCATAAATAGGAGCCAGTTGCCAAGCAGCCAAATTTTGATGCTGCAAAGGTCGTAAGTGTGGAAAACGGTCCTAAGTCACTTTTTACAGTGCTGTCATCAATTTGAACGGTCACTAAACAAACTAAGTCAAGGACTGCCTGTATTTCTTCAATTGCTTGAAATGCTTCCAATCTCCCCTCCACTGAAAACGGGGGCTACTAGCTGCAAGAGAAAACGGAGGACCAGCTGCAAGAGAAAAGAGTAACCTGGCAATCTTTTCAAAGTACCTTTACTGACTTTCAAAGGGGTCCTGCTCTTACCCAGTGGCTCTGCAGGGGTCCTGTCCGTTTCAGGCACCTGGAAGTGGCGTTCCTCCGGCTGCAATACTGGAAGAGTTTGGCAGAACGGCGTTTTGGCTACAGCATCTGTAGCAGCGATTTCGTGTGTGGAAGAGGCTATCGGAAGCTGATCCGGAAGCTGCCCAGCCGGTCCCGATTCCAGGGACACTTTGACCGGCTTCAGCAAGGGCGAGCCGGACTCCTTTTCATACCAGTGCCAAAGAATGTCCTGTAACGCGCCGGCGTTCAAGAACTGCTTGACATCCGGGTTTGGGAGCTCCTTATGCATCTCCTGGGGGTCCTTATAAATGCTGATTTCGGAATTGACCACCAAGCTGGCCAAGGGGTCCTTGGCTGGGGGCGGCTCTTGTCCGGCTCCGGTCTCGGCCTGCTCTCGCTTGTCCGGGGCCCCGGGGCACGGCCCGATGGCTTCCACTGGCCTCTTCTCGCCCACGGCTCCTTTGCCAGCCAGGACAGCCTTCATTTTGCCCAGAAGCTCCACCTGCTTCCGGTTGCTGAGAGCCATCGTCTTCCTGGCCCGCAGCGGCTTCCGGGTCTCCGTGCCCGGATTCATTTTCCCGGCTGAAAGGCAGGATGGCACCGTGAGGGCCCCATCCCTGAGCAGCCCCCTTGGCCCTCCAGGGCCCGTCCTGGGGTCCTACCTGCACGGCTGGGGCCCCTGCACTGGGGCTCCCATCTCAGGGGTGTCCAGAGGCCCTCAGCCGGCAGCTGAAGCCCCCCCCTCCGCCGGGGCCCGGAGGAGGCTCCCCGGGTGGGCCCCTTCCCCTCCCCCACCGGCCGGGCCGGGCCCGCCCTTCCAAGGGGCGGAGGCTCTCTGGGATTCCTGGGAGAGAGGCCAGATGGCGGGGCTGGTCTAGATGACCCACGGACCCCCCGCCTCCCTCTCAGTCGCCGGCGGCCCCCGGGGCTCTCCCTGCCGGCGGGGGCAGCGCTGGGCGGGCCGGGCCGAGGGAGGGGACCAGCTCCCCCCGGAAGAGCAGCGAGACCTGGGCGCTCCTTCCGACTGGGGCGCCCTCCCCTCCTCGGAGGGGCGACGGTCATCCCTGAAGGGCCACCTCAACTCACAGGCGCTTCTGCGCACGCGCGCAGCAGCCGCTGTACCCCGGAGCTGTCCCCTCCTCGTCTCCGCCGCCGCCGCCGCCCGGAACGCTCGCGGCACCTACAGCGGAAGGGATGCCGCGCACGCGCAGAGCGAGGCGCCAGCTGAGGACGGGCCCGCCGTCACTCCCCGCCTTCGGGCCTGCCGAGGCGGGTCCTACGGCCAACCGGCAGGCAGAGGAGGCAGAACCTTCCCCATCGCGCCCAATCGGCAGCGCGCCGGGGCCGAACCTTTGCCTGATTGGCCACGCTCGCTGAGCCGCGCTTTGTGCCCCCGGGTCCACTCGGCAGCCCTGAGGCGGCGAGGCCGGTCGGAGTCCGGTACGTGCGCAGCTGGCCCGGCGAGGCGAGCGGCGCCGGCCGCAAGGGCAACAGTGTAGCGGCGGGCGGGGGGGAAAGGGGCGGCGGCTCCTCTGGCCTCTCTCGGGGGTCGCGCCTCGCCCCTCCGGGGAGGAGACCCCCCGGCGCCCTGTCCCTCAGGGGGAAAGAGGCCGGCGGCCAGCGCGGCTCTGGCCTGAGGGCGCCCGGGGGCGCCGGCTTGGAGAATTGCTGGCGTCTGGCGTCCAGTCCTTCCACCCGGACCTCGCGCAAATGGGGGTCTCCAGTCTGGTTTCTTCATTTCCATCAATCAGAATAGAGCAGGAAGGGCCCTTGGATGTCTTCTAGCCCAAGTCCCTGCTCAAGCAGAAGACCCCCTACCTGTGTTTTTAGAAGAGGCCTAGGAAGTCACTAAGCACAAAAGCTGACTGGTGCCAACCTCCATTTTATCAACTCTGCCTTCTCACTCTGAGCAGAAAATCTAGTCTATTTTATGACTCGCATTTGGCAACATTACTGGTCAGCACTAATTGTACTACTGTAAAGGTGATCTGTACCCTCCTGAAGTGAGCAAAACCTGGTGGCCCGTCCCCAGCCCTGTTCGGATAAACTTGGCTTAATCAGACTCTCCTCTCCCTCTGTGGATGACTGATGCCTCCCAGAATACCCCCGACACCCGCTATGGGGCAGGGGGAGTGAAGCTTTCCTCAGCATGCAGATCAATGGGATCATCCCTTGAAGTCTCTATTTAAAAAAGAAATAATGCAGCAACCCAGATTCTCGATTCTGCTATATAAAGGAGCTTCACAGATGGTTTAATTCAGGTTGACCGTAGGTGGAGCTCTGTCACAAATGTTCAAGCCAGTTGACGCTACACACACACACACACACACACACACACACAAACACACGTGTCTCCTCCAGAGAAGGCCACCCTGCTTTGGGGTGAGGAGGATGAACGGCACCTGGGAGAATTGAGACCAATGCAGGCCCCCAACCCACATTCTTGTCCCTTGGGATTCCTGATTCCTCCATGTTGCCCCATCTAAGCTTGGTTATCATTCAGAGTTCAGGTTGTTGTACTGCAGCTCCCTGCTCAAGAGGTTAAAAGTCAGAACTGGGGTGCAATTTAACCCATAGTTTTATTAATGTTTGTTTGTGTTCTTACCGTCTTTTTTCAAAATGCAACCTGCTTTCCATTCATTGCTGAAAAATCACTACCCAGCACAAAGGAATTCATTTATTGCATTTTTAGCTGGGGGGGGGGAATGCCATTTTAGCCCAGTCTTGCTGCTGTGTTTCCAGCAATGGCCAGCGTCAACATACAGAAGTTGTAACCAGGTGTGTTTTCCTGCTCTCCCCAAATCACAGAACAGAACCCCACATTCTGGAGCAAGCGGCTTTCTGCTTACTGGAAGGATTGCAGAACAGAAGACATTTTGCAGCTGAGAAGATGGGAAACTCAGCTAAACAGAAAAGAAAAGAGGACGTAAATGTGGTAAGCTAATTAATTGAAAGAAAGTGTCCCCATGGTGCAAGATTTGTCCCCTCTAATTCATCACCCAGGGAGAGTGTCTCCTCCTCCCCCTCCTCTCATTTTCTATGGCAAAGAGAATGCATGAATTGCATAACAGATTGTGAGATCGGTGTGACGGATGCAGCTCAAGGCGTGTCTCCGGGTGGACAAGTCATGTGTGATTAGCAGACATCTCGAAATCTTGGCCCAAAGTAGGCAAATGGGAGATGCATGGTTGAATTGGTGCATATTTACTCCAATAAAAGTCCTATGTTATTTGGGCTTTACTTATACAAAGGTTTGCCTGGAATAATGGCATTCACCCTATGCCAGAGTGCTCTCTATTGCTGAAAAACACATCTACACAACCTGGTCGCACTGAATTGTAATAGCAATGTACAAAGCACCATATGGATCTGTCGTGAATAATAGGTGTAGGGCTTCCTTCAAATTGCTGAGAAGGCATTTTGAACTTCTTGCTCTCCTCCCAATTACTGGAAGATGTCTTATTTTAAAAAGGCACCTTGATAGCCATTGGTGCATGAGGAATGACTGAAAACCTAGCGACTGTAAGGGACGAAAACATTCCTAACATTGACTGATATAAGACGCACACTAGAGGACAGTAGCTGGATCCCTGGCCATTCAGGAGATTGCAACTGAATGTCTACGGAGATTCTCAGTCATCCAGGTCTTGGTTGCCCCAAACATGTTTTTTCAAAAGGTTTTCCTTGAAGGTGTTTCACTTCTTACCCAAGAAGCTTTTTCAGTTCTTCAGTTCCAGAATTGAAGAAGCTTCTTAGATGAGAAGTGAATTGACTTCAAGAAAAAAACCAAGAAAGTCCAGTTGCCATTTGAAAAAGCACCTTTGGGACATTGGCAAATGAAGATTGTCCATCCATCAGCCCAAGCTGGAAATCTTGCTCTGGGTTTGCTTTCCTCTTCCCTCCCGTTCCATTTTCCTCTCTTACCGTGCTTATTAGATTTTGAGCTAGAGGGCAGAGCCTCCGTTCTCTTTGAACGTCTGCACTGCCCTCTGGAAAATCAAGGCTGCCTTGGCATGTGCATAAATCTCCTGCTTGCAGTAAACAGACCTTAGCTGGTGCGGTGGATGCTAGTGGCTTGGCCATGCGTGATCTGCCTCCCCTTTCCCTGGTATTTTTCTGGGCTTCCTGTTGGGTGAAATTGTCAAACACGGCTCCTGCTGTGGTGTTGCAAAAGGGCACATTAAACCTGCCTTGCTGGATGCCGGATCGCTTGTCCATCACGGCAGATGTGCGAAGGCGCATGCCAGGAGAGCCGCCGGCTCCAGCAGGGGGTTAAAATGTTATGGCTGCATCTCAGGGAGTCGTCTGCACACCTCAGTCAAGCCAGCTGTTAACCAAAATTGTCGGCTCCATTTGAGAAGGTGAACAGAAGAGATTTCTGGTCTGGGAGCAGGAAGGTAGGATCAAGTTTTTCCTGCCTGTAATAATGGAAGGAAGGTAGAACCTTAGCACTTTTTGCCCCCCCTGCCCCCCTCCGTCTCTTCCCTCTGCTGCGCTTTCCTCAGTTCCAGTCACTTGTGGTGGACTGTAAGAAACTATTGGAAGATTCCGGAGTCTCTGATTCCGGATTCTGGCTCTGCATTGCCCAAGAGGTCAGACTCACCGGTGGGTCTCAGAGCCAGAAGCCGACCAGCTCCTTGGCCCACATGCCACAGCTCCATCCGCAAGGCCAGCCCCAATTGTGTTGGTTTAATTTGTTCCCTGGGGAGGGAAGGTAGGACTGCAGCTGAAACTGGGGCATTGCTAGGATCTAGAAAACAAAGAAACAAACAATCTGGGTTTCTCTCTGGACTTCCTCCAGGGCCGGTCCCTCAACAGCGCCCGCCCACCCGCCTGCCCGTGTGATGCAAGGGAGCCTGCTCCGCTTTGAAATCTCTCTAGCGCTACCTAAGCTCAAAATAGACTCATTTCCATTCAAAGGAATTGGATTTCTGCTGTGTCTTAATTATTTCTGGATTGAAAGTGTGGTGACTTTCATAGTGGGGAGCGCTATCCGTCTCTTCCCCTCCTCATTCCCCCCACTCCTCTGTAGAGCAGCTTAAGTCCATAACATTTTCAATGGGGGGGGGGAAGGGGAAAGGGAAGAGACAAGGGGAGGAGAAGGACCTTCTTAAGATGGCCTCATCCAGCAAAAGCTGCCCAGGTTGTGGAGCTGTGGCCGTTCAGCGGGGGGGGGGGAGCCCTTTTCTGGGCCAGTCTCTTGATGAGCCCAGCAGCCCTTCCGTGGCTGAGACACCCAGCAGCTCCACCCTGGACTGTAGCCAATCAGAAGTGGGGGGCGGGGGGGGGACCTGCAGGCCAGAGACCCTTCCTCTTGCAGTTTTGAGGCTGGCTCCCCCCCCCCACGGTTTCATGAATTCCAGTTGGCACAGTATGCTAAGCCAGGAATAAGGAACAAGCTGCCTTATGGCTGTGCAGGATCTGGTTTGGTCTGTTGAGTGACAGGGCAGGCCAGACTGAGGCCCAAGACTCTGGGTCAAGCAACTCTTGAACCAGACCTGGCTGCCTTGTTGCTCTTGCCAACTTTATACACTCTGAGAGTTTTTAGCCAGGTTTATTTGTTTTCTATAATTCAGTGACCTTGGCCTTTCGGGGGCAAAAACCCTGTTTCCGTTGAGGAGGGGGCTGGTTTCTGAAGGAGGCTGCAGCCCCCTGAGAGTTGAAGACACCCACCCACCGCCCACCTGCCCTCTCTGGGGGCGCCGAGGGGAGCTTCCCTGGCAGAGATGTTGCAGCCCGGCTACCCATTCGCGGCCACCCGGATTGCCCCCCCCCCCAAGCTTCGGCAGAAATCAGCCCGGCTGCGGCGGCGCTCGTTGTAGAGTCTCCGCCGAGTCCGGCCGTTCCCGCCATCCAAGGGGACGCGGCCGGGCCGGTGGGACCCCACGTGGGCTCCGGGTTGCACCCCGGCGACTCCGCCTCCTCCCCTCCCCTCCGGGCCGGGCGGGCGCGCGGGGGAAGGGCTTCTCTCCGCCCGCCCGCCCGCCCGCCCGCCCGCCGGCGGGCTGGCTGGCTGGCTGGCTGGGCTGCTGCGCGACTGAGCTCCGCCCGGCGCCGGACTGCAGCGCCGTCGCTGGTCCCGGGCGAGGCAGTGGCCGAGCGAGCGAGCGCGCTCCGCAGGGCAGGCTCTCCCGGCCGGGACCCGGGCGGCGGCGGCGGCGGCGGCTGGCTGTGGCTTCGGGGCGGCGCTGAGCTTCGCTGCCGCCCTCCCGCCCCCGGCCGGTGCCCTCGGCCCGCGCGCTGCCCCAACTTGCCCGGAGGCGGCGGCGGCGGGGCGCGGGGGGGCTGCCCCTCCTGCCAAGGAGCCGAGCCGGGCGCCCGCGCGAGGAGGGGAAGGCCGGCGGCGGCGGCGGCGGCGGCGTGCCTCTGCCTGCTGCCCGGACGGCCTCGGCGATGCGGGGCGGCCGCCCCCCGGGGCATTATGGCGAAGGCCGGCGCTGCGGTGAGTACAGTGGCGCGGCCGGGAGCTTCTGGCCCCAGGCGCGCTCGGCTTCCCCCGCGACGCTCACACCCCCGATTGGAGCGGCCGCCGCAGCCCCGCAGGAGCCCGGCGCGATGCGGGTCGCCCGGGCGAGCGCGGAGATTTGGGGAGGGTCCCGCGAACTGCTCCCGTCCGGCCGCGGGCAGGGTGAGCCTTCCCGGGCGGGTAGCCGCGGAGCATCGCGGGGGCTGGCTGGTTGGTGGACCGGCTGCGCCTCCGCAGAGCCCCCGCCCGCTTTGCGCCCTCCGCTGTGAGGACGTGCCCGGAGCCGGGTCGGGCCGGTCATGGGGGCTGGGAGGGCCGGGCGGGCCGAGGCAGCGGGAGCGGGTCCCGAAGAAGATGGCGAGCCCGCCCCCGGGGGTCAGTAATGCCCACTCCGTCCCTCCCCCCCCCGCGCCGGGGCTGTTCGGAGGGGCCGTATCGCATTTCCCACCCGCCTTGGCCGGTGCAGGCGGTGGGATTTGTAGTCCCCGGCTCCCGGAGGGTGGGCCACCGCGAGGAGGGCATCTCCGGGATGGCGTTTCGGCAACTTTTTCAAGTGCCGCCGCCGCGGGGCGTTAAGGCGCTTGTTTAAGCGAACGTTGGTTTTGAATGCCTGGACGCGGCCTCGCTTCCCCCCTTCTCTGGCGCTAACCGGCCGGCCTTCTTCTGACCCGCCCGCAGAGCCTGTTTGCACCGAGAGACCCCCCCGCCGCGAGCGGAGGCGAGGCGGAGCGCAGCCCCCAGCCCCGGCTGCGGCGCCTGTGGCGGGACGGACGGCAGCCCCCCTTGACGCGCGCCGCTGAGCAGCCGTGCGAAATGCCAAACTTTGCGGCCGCCTCGTCTACCGTTTCTCACGACCCCGGTAAGCAGCGGCGCTCCTTCGGCTGGGAGTAGAGGCGGGCGGGGCCAGGGGGCGCTCTGGGCTCGCCTTTGCCTCCCCCCCCGCGGGACGGGAGCCGAGAACGGCCGGCTGCAGTTTGGAGGGGGGCGGGCTTCTTGCCGCCCTCCCCCCGTCGCCCAGCCGGGCAGCCTGGTGCGGCGTTCAGAAGACCGGGCGAAACAAGAATTAATGAGGCGAGTTTAAAAGGCCCACAGAAAGCTTTATTGTTTCACCCGAAGCCCCCCCTCCCTTTCACAAAAATTCTCGCCTGATCTGACTGCAGTGTGTGTGTGGGGAGGGGATGGTAAATCTGCCCTGCAACAGATCCGACCTCTGAGGCTGCATCCAAATGCAGTCTGCAAAGGGGGGAGGGGAATGGGCAGGGGCTGCAGCGACCCCCTCTGCCCGGGGAAAGAAGATCTTTGAGGAGCCATGCTTTGCTGAAACTGGGGGAGGGTCGCTGGAGATGGCACACTGAGCCCCCCCTGGCTGGAGGGAGAGGACGGTCTGGCTGGGAAGATGTAGGACTCCTTGGCGAGGGCCTGTCTCAGCAGCAGTAGTCCCTCCGGGAGGCATGGCAAGGGTGGGAGGGGGTCCTTCCAGGAAGAGGCCTGAGCTCGGGCCCCCAACCCTGCCATCGGCCTGCCTGTGCCTGCGGCTGGTTTAGCTTGAGCAGTCAGCCATCCCACTGGAGAGGAGGCCGGAGGATCCCCCGCCGAGGAGCTACTGCTGGTTCCACTTTAGTGGCTGCGGCAGGCAGAAAGGGGCACCTGGCCCGGCTCGGCGGCTTCTCTTAGATGGGTAGAAGCCCCTCCCCGATCCCCCCCCCGTCACTGTGTGTCCCTCGCCCCGCAGCCTGGGCGGCTTCTCTTTCCTTGTCTGCACAGGAGGGGTCTTGCAGAGTGGCTCCTCCACAGATGCGACGTGGCTCAGGCTGGTGGCTCTGCTCTGAAGCCAGCGGAGAGTTGGGGGGAGGCAGGGGGGCGTTATGCGGCACCCCCACCCCTTCATAGGGCCTGGTGGTCTGGGGTCTGCTTGCCAATGGGTCTGCCGGCCCCTCTGGCTGAGCAGGAGGGCGCCCGAGTTCACTCTGGCCCCCTTTGCAGGGCATGGTGCTGGTCAAGATGGCATGCGTGTGCTGGAATCTGCTGGTGCTCCAGGCGTTTTTGGCGGATCTGGCCCTCGTCCACGGGGCGGAGAGAAGCTCCCCGATCCTGAACGTTGCAGTCATTTTGGGAAGGACCCCGAGTGTCACAGAAAGAGACATTCGTGCTCTCAGCAGCCGGGACATGGCCGGGAGACTCCCCACTGACGTTAACGTGGTGCCCCTCCTGATCAACCAGACCGACCCCAAGAGCATCATCACCCACATCTGCGACTTGATCTCGGGCACCAGGATCCACGGGGTGGTTTTCGGAGACGACACCGGCCAGGAGGCCGTTGCCCAGATTCTGGATTTTATCTCCTCACAGACTTTTATCCCCATCCTGGGCATCCACGGGGGCTCCTCCATGATCATGGCAGAGAAGGTAGGGGGGAAGAGGGACCGAGGGGCGGGTGGAAGGGTGGGGAAGGGGGCTTCCATCCGTTGGCCTCTGGTTTCCGGGGGGGGGGCTACAATCACACCTTCCCTGAAGGAGGTGCTGGCAACCCATGTCCTTCTGCGCCGTCTGCTGCTTTCCACATCCTTGGTAGAATCGGGGCCTGGCTGGTCCATTTATCTGAAGTGGTCTAGGGTCTCCTGCCTGAGCAGGGGGTTGGACTAGAAGAGCTCCAGGTCCCTTCCAACTATTTCTGTACATGCGCCTCCCAGATGATGCTCCTTAAACTCAGCTCCAGTCTGGGGAGGCCTAGCAGAAGCCTTTCTCTTGAGATCAAGCAAGGGGGGAAGTCTTGGGGAGAAGCAGCTGCTGGCCTGACCCCCCAGCCAGGAGAGAACTTAGAGTGAGGGGGGCAGCCCAGAGAGAGAGGCTTTTCCTTGGCAGGGGCCTCACTTTCAGGCTGGCTGTTTTCTCTCCTGGGTGTACAAGAAACTCTTCCTGCTGACCTCAGTGTCTGTTTTGGAGAATTGGGTTTACCTGCCAGATTAAGGAGCCTGGAGTTGCTTATGGTGTCGGAGGGAGGGGGGAAGGAATTGCTTCTTGCATCCCCCCTAATCTCTTAGGCCAGGGATCCTTCTGTGGCTGAGGGTCTTGTGCTGCTTCCCAAACGTTGTTGGAGACACTTATGATGTACAGATGTAGCACGAATGAGCCCTAACGCTACTCCAGCAGAGTCAGGGGCCACTTCGTGGGCGCTGCTTAAACCCGTGCCTTGGCGTTGCAGGCCCCAGGGAAGCCTGGAGCTGGTGTCCCTGTTCCGTTGGACCGTGCTTGGCTTTTCTTGGGGCTCCGGGACTCCGGCGGTGGGGATGATCCCTAGGCTGTCCAGCACCTTTTCCCGGAGCCCTTTACACGTGCTGCTGCCTCTGAATCGTTCTTCACCCACAGGGCGGGGTGAGATCTCCATATTTCTTGCTTCAGCTGAGAAGATCTCCTCTTCCTGCCAGATTGATCGATCTTGGCTGAGATCTGCCCGCTGCAGGATTGTGTCCCTTGAAATGTAACGGGGGGGCATCACCTGTGGGGATGGGTGAGCCTCCTGCCTCCTCCGCTGCACCTCCAGGGCTGCCTCTGCAGGGCGGCCGGTGGACAGGCAGCTGCACCGGCGTCGTGTTGCTGCTGTTGCTGCTGCCGTCCCCGAAATCTCGGCTGCCGCCACGTCTCCCAAAGGGCTTGTGAGCCAATCTCGCTTCCACTTATGTAAAGAGTTGAGGATTCAGGGAGGGCTGGTTGACTGAGAGCCGCTTCTGGCTTTCCAAGAAATGCTTTCTTAGTGCAGCTCACGCAGCCTGCTTCACCACGGCCACCCAGCCTCCCCCCCAAAAAAACAAAGGCGAGATTAGGAGAAAAAAGCCCCCCCCCCCAGGTTATCTCTCTTCTCTGCCTCCCAGGCTCTGCTCACTACAGAGGCTGCTTCTCTCTCTCCCTCCCTCCCTCCCTCCCTCCCTCTCTCTCTCTCTCTCTCTCAACAAGAGAAGACCTGGATCCAGGGTGTGTGTGTGTGTGTGTGTGTGTGTGTGCGTGTGTGCGTGCGCACATGCCTGTGTGTCACTTTTCCTCACCCAAAATGCTGTGTCAGTGCTGCAAGTATTGCGCCAGTGAGGTGTGTGGACAGGGTTGGCAGCTAGTCGGGCAGGAGGGGGCCCCAGGGGACCCTTCACCTCCTCCTTTCCACAGGGATTGGCAGCTGGACAACATCCAGTGTCCACCTCTTGTTCTGATGCTGGGCCTCCAATGGTGCTCAGCGGGAAGCCTTTTTTGTGGGCACGGCCCGTGTGCACCGAGGGTCTTCAGCTGGATCTTCTGCTTCTGAGCCGTGGGATGGGCAGGTGCAGGGGCCTCAAGAACAAGCAGGCCTTCCCCGGCAGGGATGAGCTGCTGCAGAGAGACGATCAGCTCTTTCAAATCCCCCAGTTCTTCTTGGCTGAAGCTGATCAGAAGTCCATAAAGACGGGCTGAGTTCACCTTTGGCACTGAGACATGAAGTCACCTTCTCAGTTGTGTGAACGTAGCCACTCGCAGTCTGCTGTAGAAACTAAGTGAACCAAGCTTCGTTCAATGCTGTTTGTGCAATGTGTGTCCTGGGGGCCTCTCCTGCCTGCCTCCCCCCCACGTGGGCCGGGCCAAGAGGGTTTGGAGGGAGGCTAATGGGTCCCTCCCCCATGACCCACCAGGCCCAGAGACTCACTCAGGTCTAGGGCTCTTCTAGGCCAGCCTTCCCTCCCCAGGACGAGGCGGGTGAGTGTCGGGGTCCCTCCCAACCCTTTCCCAGCTGCAGACTTGCTCAGATTCCTCTGAGCTCCCATCCTGCAGGAATGTCTAGGGCCACCTCCGGACCCCTTGGTTGCCTGCTTTTCCATGAATTCACCCAAAGCCAGCTTTGCAGCCCTCGTTGCTTAAGGAAGCACCCCAGGCTTATTTGTCCCAGCACCTACACTTCCTTTTATACTCCTCTCCCTCCTCCCCTTAAGTAAAAGTTCCGAATTGGGGAGACCTGTGCACCCTCCCCCCTCATGTGAGTGGTCCTCTTTTGCATCATGTCCCACAGCTCCTTTTGGGCTGCCACCCGAGGGGACCGCCCCCGAGGAGGTTTCATCCTTCAGCAGGCCTCGATCCGCTCTCGGCTCCCAATCAAAAGGGGGCCCCTGGCTGCAGGATTGAGGGTTTGTTGGGCCTCCCCAAACGGAAGCCTGGCGTCTTGCTCAGCTTGGCCACCTGGGAGGCAGAAGGTTCCCGTGGAGCAGGTGAGTGGATCTTACCAGTTGCCTTTGGGGCTTTGGGGTCTTTCCCCTCATAAGGACAGACTCAGGGTGGTCCAAGTCACGGGAATTTACTTGAACTTCTGCCAAAGGTGGATAACCAGCCCCTCTTTTGAGATAGGAAGAGGAGCTTTGTCTTGGGAGCCAATTTGGTTCCTCTCTTTTTGGGAAAATTCGGCTTAAGTGGAACGCTCCAGCTGATTGCCTGCTCCTTGGGCACGACTGAGGCATCTTATTTATATGGAGTAAACAGAAGGCGGTCCATATTGGTTCTGTCAAACATGTTTTCTTTCTCCGCTTTGTCATCTATTAAGGGTGCCTGAGAACATGCTAGCTTTAACCGGATCTGACAGTTTAATAGTTTTTCTCTTTCCCTTTTTCATTTTGGCGCAATGGGGGGAGCAGAACACTTGACCAGGCGTTTTAGACCAGGCGAGGCCTTCAAAGTTGTTATTGTTTTAAGTTGTGGCACAATTCTGTGTCGTAGCCCTCGACCTTGCGGCCAGTTCTCTTGCGTAGGGAACCCCGGGCATCGTTGTGATTTGTGTGGGTGGCAAGGAAATAACTAAAGATTGGCACATGACTATATTTAGACTTGTGCTTGTGCCCACGTCGGTTGCCAACTGGCATGGGAAGTGCCCGGCTGAAGGACTTTGGGGAGTGTTTGGATCAAAGGCTGAACTTGAACGCGCTCAAGCACAGTTTGATTTGCTTACTTATGGCTTATTCTATAATCCATCGTTGGCTGGGTCTCTTCGGCACGCTTAGTGAGTAAACGTGGCTCAGGAACCTCAATGACTAAAGGCACAAAGCGCAACGTTTCACAACCAGGCAAGCCACTTGCGCCTTGGACCCAGGTAAACCTTGGTTGCTGTCCCACGCAGGGGAACCGGTACACTGCCCCCTCAACAATGACTCTGACTTGTGTGGGAGAAAGTCGGGGGAAACATGGTCTGTTTCTGCATTCAGGGCACAATCAAGGGGGTTTGTTGCTCTTTGTCTTCACATGTTGTGGCCAGGGAGGTGTTGTGATTTCCAAGCTGTACTTTCTGGCTTGCTGGTTGTCTGAATCCAGACAGTCTCACTCAAGCAGCATATTTAACTTTTCGACTGAGGCCCTGTGATGGGCAGCCACGATTTAGGACTGAGTGTAGGACTTCAACGAAGCCATGCTGCTGGTTTGGTCAGCTCCTCAGGCCATCCCAGGCAGGAGTCTCCATTTCAGAGGAGGCAGATTCGGGGTATCATAGGCCAGAGAGGCCAAAGCGGGGTCTCCCTGGCTTTCTGCCTCGGGCCTAGCAGTCTCAGCACCCCCATCAGAGCTGGGCAGGATAAAAGAACGTAGCAGAACCAATTCTGGGAAGGGAATGGATGAGCTGCTGAGGGAGGAGAAATGGCCATCAGTCCAGGGAAAGCGGAAAGCACCAGAAAGAAACTCAAGACTCCCTACCTTGCTGGCTGGGGCATTCTGGGAGTTGAAGTCCACCCATCTGAAAGCTGCCAAGGCTGAGAAACCCTGCCCTGCTGCAGAGCAACCATCCTGGGGAGCAAATTTGCAGGGAGCAAATTAGGAAAGGTGGGTTTAAGTGTTAGGAGGGTTACAAAGCAGATCACCAATGGTGTAGGATCTGATAAGGAGATACATAAATGGATGAACTGAAAATTGAGTCTCCCCTCCATCCATTCAGTTCCTCCTCCTCCTCCTCCTCCTCCTCCTCCTCCTCCTCCTCTCCCCTTCACCCCCCCCCCCAGGAGCATTTTCTCAGCAGTGGTTGAAGCCTTGGAAGTGATGGCATGTTCTGAACAGGGCCAGTTGGTCAGGCTGGCCTTCAGGCAAGAACATGAAGGGCCAAGGAGGGAGCCATGAATGTTTCATGGTGCTAAGTGCTTAGGGTGGAGATTCTCCCTTATGGAATCTGACTCCAGCAGCTCCAGCAGCTTTGGAAAGAGGCTGGGTTGCACATTGCTGGACTCGTGCTAAAACTGCAGATTTCCTTAATGGGAAATATGGGTTGCTCTCTCGCTTTTTTTTCCAAGCAAGAAAGCTAATAGATTTTAGTAAAGATAAATAAATAAAAACACAAGCTGGATTTCCTTTTTTTTTTAAACGGCTGACATCCAGCTACAAAATTTCAGCTTATGTAATTGATTCAACATTACCCAAGTGGC